TACCGGCAACTAGTGAGAAGCCGGGCCCCTGCCGGGACCCCTGCCGAGGACCACCGAAGCGTGGCAATCGACCAACCACCGACTGCCATGGATGCCCCCCGGCCGCCGCCTGTGGTTGTTACTCTCCCGGATCCTTCTTAAGAAGAAGAGAGATAAAGGGAAGAGGAAAGTTGATGTTGCTGCTGGTGAGGCCACTCGGCCTAAGCAACGCCGGGTTGAGAGAAGTTCGACCGAATTGGTTGTCCCTTCGGCCATTGTCGCTAAGGATTTTTTGTCGGAAGAGATTCGTCCGGCGCGAATAATGTCATCCGATTTGTTGTCATCTCAAGGGCATCGGATGCTTGATTCTGCTACTCCCTCGGCGCAATGGGCTATGGCTTGTGAACTGCACATGAGGGCCACGACCATATTTCAGAAAATGGCTTTAGAGCCTATGGCCGATGTGCATAATCTGAAGAAGAGTCTGGACGAGACTAAGTCGGCCCTTCAACAGTCCGTGGAGGCGCATGAGGCAACTTCTGGTGAGAAGTTGACGTTAGGGGCCAAGGTGGCTCGGTTAAAGGAGGCTTACACTGAGATGGAAGGTCGGGCTCTCGCGGCGGAAGATGCCGAACGGATGAGGATCCAAGAGGTGCAAGAACTTTCGGCCCGAGAACAGCAAGTAAAGTCCGAGGTCGAGGCTGCAATGGCTACCTTCCGTGCCGAAGTTGAGGGCAAAATTATCAAAGAGCACGAGAAAGGGTTTTGGCATTGTGCTCGGCAAGCAACCCACTTCGGTACTTTCCCCCCAGACTTCTCCTTCGAACTCAGCAAGGACTTCTTCCAAGGGGTGTATCTAGACTTTAATGATGCCCCCGACAACATTGAGCCGGATGAGGCGGCCCCACCTCGGTCGGCTCCTATGGAAGATCCTGGTGCAACTGTGAATGATGATGAGGAGACCGAGGAGACCACTCATGCTGACTGAAGGGTGCCATTGTCTTGCTTTTTTGTTATACATCTGTTTTGTTAATGATGTATAGGTATAGGGGTCTTTTGCTTTGATTCTTTTTGGGCCGTTTGAGCCATTCTTTGTACTTCTCGGCCAATAGTGCCGGTTTGACCTCAGTTTTAATGAATCCGTTTTTTATTTATGTTGGCATTCTACTCTGTTCGTGTACCTTTTATCTTATAATTTTCTTCCAAGTTTTTCTTTGACCGGTGGGGTAGGAATGTCTTTCGCTTCCCTTAGTCGGACAATTGGTAAGGGACTGTTTCTTCCTTGACTGAGACGATCTCGTAGATTTTGTTTAACATTGGCGAGTGAAGAAACTTCTACCTTTGCCGATAGGGTGTTGTCGGGAAGGGTTGATTTCATTAAATCGAGGCCGCGCGACAGGTCAGATAGGGATCATTTCATTCATGGTTTGCCGAGAAGGGGTCTCGGCAGGGATTATCTTAATTAACCTTGGCCGAGAAGGTATCTCGGGAAGGATCTACTTATTCATCCTTGACCAAGCGAGGGTGCTTAGGAGGGAAAGCGTTCGTCCTTGGGCGAGTAGTTGGACTCGGGAGGGAATTATCAGCCTTGGCCGAGCGAGTGTGCTCGGTGGGATTATGTTCAACCTTGGCCGAGAGGATGTCTCGGGAGGGATTCAAGTATTCATCCTTGGCCGAGCGAGATTGCTCGGGAGGGAATTATGTATTCATCCTTGGCCGATGCGAGATTGCTCGGGAGGGGATCATGTATTCATCCTTGGCCGAGCGAGATTTCTCAGGAGGGGATCATGTATTCATCCTTGGCCGAGCGAGATTGCTCGGGAGGGAATTATGTATTCATCCTTGGCCGAGCGAGATTGCTCAGGAGGGAATTATGTATTCATCCTTGGCCGAGCGAGATTGCTCGGGAGGGAATTATGTATTCATCCTTGGCCGAGCGAGATTGCTCGGGAGGGAATTATGTATTCATCCTTGGCCGAGCGAGATTGCTCGGGAGGGAATTATGTATTCATCCTTGGCCGAGCGAGATTGCTCGGGAGGGAATTATGTATTCATCCTTGGCCGAGCGAGATTGCTCGGGAGGGAATTATGTATTCATCCTTGGCCGAGCGAGATTGCTCGGGAGGGAATTATGTATTCATCCTTGGCCGAGCGAGATTGCTCGGGAGGGAATTATGTATTCATCCTTGGCCGAGCGAGATTGCTCGGGAGGGAATTATGTATTCATCCTTGGCCGAGCGAGATTGCTCGGGAGGGAATTATGTATTCATCCTTGGCCGAACGAGAGTGCTCGGGAGGGATTAAGTTTGATTTGAATAGACTTGAACAGAAAAGATATCGCCAAAAAGGGTTTGTTTCATTAATATGGAGCCTCATTAAAAACCTTTCGTCAGTAAAACCTCTCATTGTTTTCAAGAGGGAAAAACCTGAGAAAGGAAAAGAGTGCTCCGAAACAAGTTACAACAAGAAAAGCTAGCTAAAGTAATGCTTTAGGTGCGTCGCATTCCAAGTACGGGGTATAACCTTCCCGTTGAACTCTTCTAGTTTGTAGGCTCCGTTTTGCAAGTCGTGCCTTATCCGATATGGTCCATCCCAATTAGGTGCTAATTTCCCCTGAGCTTTATCCTTGCGTGCTTCACCTGTGACTCGCCATACTAGGTCCCCTGCTTGAAACTGGCGAGGCTTTACCTTTCTTCTGATTTTCCTGGCTGCCCTGGTTCGGCAAGCTTCCATATTGACTAGTGCCGACTCACGTGTTTCATCGATAAGGTCTAGGTCTATGTTGAGAGCTTCCTTGTTGGTTTCCTCGTCGAATTGTTGTCGCTGAAGTGAAGGTTCCCCAACTTCCATCGGAATCATGGCATCGGTGCCATAAGTAAGCCGAAATGGGGTTTCCTTTGTAGAACTTTGTGGGGTACAGCGATACGCCCATAGAATTTGTGGTAGATGATCTGGCCAGGAGCCTTTGGCCTGCCCGAGCCGTCGTTTAAGTTCTTTGAGGATAACCTTATTTGCCGCTTCGGCTTGTCCATTAGACTGGGGGTGTTCTACTGAGGTCATTTTGTGTTTAATGCCCAATTCTGAAAGGAAATCATTGAAGCGTCGATCGGTGAATTGCAGACCATTGTCAGTGATTAACGCGTATGGGATCCCGAAGCGGGTAATCACATTCCTCCAAAAGAATTTCTGAACATTGTTGGCTGTTATGGTGGCCACTGCTTCTGCTTCGATCCACTTAGTGAAGTGATCCACTGCCACAATGAGGAACTTCACTTGCCCTTTGGCCGGCGGGAAAGGTCTGAGTATGTCCATGCCCCAAACGGAGAACGGCCACGGGACCGTGATGGAGTGTAATTCCTCAGGAGGCTGGTGTGTTATCGGCCCGAATTGTTGGCATGGTTTGCATTGTTGAACAAACTCAACACAATCTACGATTAGGGTTGGCCAATAGTATCATGCATGGATAACTTTAGCCGCGAGAGTTCGACTTCCCGAATGAGTTCCACATACTCCTTCATGAATTTCTCGGAGAACGTAGTGTGCTTCTTCAGGAGCGAGGCATTTTAATAGGGGAGAAGAAATGCCCCGTTTATACAATTCTCCGACAATCAGCGTATACCGTGCCGCAGTGATTCTCATTTTCTTAGCTTTGAGGGGACATTCAGGCAATTCTCTGGTTTGAAGGTAGTTGACTATAGCATCCATCCAGCAGGGGCTGCCTTGACCAATCTGCATACATTCGACCTCGTCGACACTCGGGCTTAGCAGCTCTTGCTGTATCATGCTACGTAAATGGCTGGTTTTCTTGCTACTAGCCAGTTTGGCTAGTTGGTCGGCTCTGGTATTATGTTCCCTGGGAGTGTGTGTGACTCGGACAATTTCAAAGTTGTTTTTTAGCTTCTGGAAAGCATGAAAGTACAACAACAATGTTGGTTCTTTAATCTAAAAATGTCGTTGACTTGCCCGGTCACTATTTGAGAATCACTAAAGCACTGAATCTTAGTGATGCCGAGGTCGGTTTCCAATCTGAGTCTTGCAAGAAGGGCTTCGTACTCTGCTTGGTTGTTGGATGTCTTGAATCTGAACCGCAGTGATTGTTCTATAACCGTTTTTCCGGGGCCTTCCAAAATGATGTCGGCGCCACTACCCTGTTGGTTTGAAGATCCGTCCACGTGTAGCGTCCAAATATGTGGCTCGGGAGTTATCGGTGGTGTGAATTCATTAATGAAGTCGGCCATGCATTGCGCCTTGATGGGTCCCCTGGGCTCAAAACGGATATCGAATTGTGATAGTTCGATGGACCAGGCGACCATCCTTCCGACCAATTCGGGCTTCCGCAAGACTTTGATAATGGGACTATCCGTTCGGACGAGTATTTTGTGGCTCTGGAAGTAATGCCGGAGGCGCCTAGCTGTGTGCACGAGGGCGAGAATGGTCTTTTCGAGATGTTGATATCTCGTCTCGGCCTCTTGTAAGGCCCGGCTGATGAAGTATATTGGCAGTGGTTCTGTTTTTTCTTGCACCAATGCGGTGCTGATGGCTTTGTCTGAAGCCGAAAGGTATATTATCATGTCCAACTGGGGGTCTGGTTTGAAGTTTTGGAAGGCCGCTTCACATTCGTCAGTCCACTTAAATTTTGTGGCCTTCTTCAGTAGAGACATAATGGGTCTAGATTTGTCCGCCATGCAAGGCAGGAAACGAGCCAAGGAGGCGATGCGCCCGGCCAAACGCTGTACTTCCTTTACATTGAGAGGGCTTCTCATATTGATGATGGCCTGGCACTTGTCGGGGTTGGCTTCTATGCCTCTTTTTGACAACATGAAGCCCAAAAATTTTCCACCGACTACCCCGAAGGTACATTTAGCGGGGTTCAATCGCATGTGGTGTCTCCTTACCTCGTCAAAAATCATGTGGAGGTCTTTCAGGTGGTCGGCAGCGGTGTTGGATTTGATCACCATATCATCCACATAAACCTCCAAGCACGTTCCAATCTGCTGACGGAAAATCTTGTCCATGAGGCGCTAATAAGTCGCCCCTGCATTCCTCAAGCCGAAAGGCATTACCCTGTAGCAAAAATTGGCCGAATCTGTGATGAACGCGGTCTTTGCTTCGTCCGGGGGGTACATAGGTATTTGATTATACCCCGAATAGGCGTCCAAGAAACTCAATCTATGATGGTCGGCTGCTCCGTCAACCAACGCATCAATGTGGGGTAGAGGGTAAGCGTCTTTTGGGCACGCTTTGTTCAAATCCGTGTAATTTGTACACATCCGCCACTTTCCATTTGATTTCTTAACCATCACCACATTTGCCAGCCAAGTGGAATACTTGACTTCTCTTATGAATCTTGCTTGAAGCAGCTTGGTTGTCTCTTCCTTTATCGCCTGAGCCCTCTCGCCACCCATCTTTCTCTTCTTTTGAGCGATAGGCTTGGCGTCTCGACACACCGAGAGTCGATGGCAATGGAAACTCGGGTCAATGCCCGGCATGTCTGCTGCAGTCCAAGCAAATAAGTCTGAATACTTTCGTAGTACCTGCTTAATATCTCTTGCATCTGCTCCGGATAGCTGAGAACTCAAGAAAGTGACCTGCTCTTCATTTTTCCCTAGCTGGAAAGGCACCGTTGTTTCAATAGGCTCGACCCTATCTTCATCTTCCATCCTTGGATCGAGTTCTAGACCTTCAACTAACTTCTGTCGGACGTCGCCAATAACATTAACATCTCGTCCTGGCTTCGGAGTTGGTAGTACCCTTAAACTGGCGAAGTAACATTTGCGCGCCGTTTTATGATCGGCATGCATGGTGATAACCGTCCTTTCCTCTGACGGAAACTTCATGGCCAAATGTGGAGTAGATACGATGGCTCGGAGCTTGTTTAGAGAGGGTCTGCCCAACAGAATGTTATACGAGGAGTTGGCGTTCACAACTACATAGCGCACCTTGATCCGCCTTCGTTGATCATCGCCGAAGTAGGTATACAAGTCTATCGTCCCTCGAGTGTCCACACGCTCACCCGAAAATCCTACCAAAGGTTCATCATAGGGCGTCAACTCCTGTTCCGGAATGCCCAGTTGTTCGAACGTCTTCCAGTACAAGATATCCGCCGAACTACCTTGATCAACCAGTGTCTTCTTTACGATACAGTTGTTGATCTCTACACTGATGACCATGGGGTCATCTTGTACTGGGTCGATGCCTTGAAAATCTCGGTCTGTGAACGTTATAGGGGGCATCCGACCCGTCCTATGGCGTTGACCGACCTGATAGCTCTCAAGTGTCTGTTTCGAGCTGAGGATGAACTCCCTCCTCCTGCAAAGCCTCCGACAATGGTGTTGATCACTCGTCTAGGTTGATTACGGCCCCGTTGATTATCTCTATCTTGAGACCTGCTACGTTCGCGAGATTTGTTTCACGGGGGTGATCGGTTGCGATTCTCCCTTCTGTACTCTCCCCTACCCGGACGATTGTCGTTCCTTCGGTGGTTCGACGATTGGACAAAGCTTTGGAGATGTCCGGCCTTAACTAGGTCCTCAATTCGATCCCGAAGGGCTGAACATTCCTCAGTCGTGTGCCCTCTATTACGGTGGAACTGGCATGATTTAGTCTTATCGGCGTGTGGGGGGGTCATGGCCCTTCGAGGGACGGCCAGGACTTCTGTGGCTAGGGCTTTTTCCAACACTTTAGCCCTGCTCGTGTTGAGTGGCGTGTACTGCACGTACCTCGGCCCCCTATTATTCTTGTCTCAGTCCGGCATGTCTCTGGGTCGCGATCTGGGCGGCTGGTTGTCACCCTCCTTTTTTTGGGGAAACAGGTCGGATCGGCTTTGGCTCCGAAACTCGGCCAGTTCCTCCATTTGCATATATTTTGTAGCTCTCTGTCTCAGATCGTCCAGATCTCGGGGTGGTTTCTTGCATAGGCTATTGACAAAAGGTCCGGGCCGTAACGCAGTGGTCAGGTGATGCATTGCCACGGCCGGGTCCAGGTTGCGGATTGATAGGGTCATCCTTCCAAATCTCTCCATGAAAGTTCTCAAGGGCTCTTTTTTTTCTTGGCGTAGGTTGACCAACGCGATTGACGTAAGCTGATGAGGCCGGCTTGTGGCGAACTGTATCACGAAACGAGAGGACAGGGTCGTGAACGAATCTACCGATCCAGGTGGGAGTCTAGTAAACCAGTTAAGTGTCGGTCCTTTCAACGAGGTGGGAAAGACTTTACAGAGAATGGCATTCTCATCCGTATATAGGCCGACCTAGGTGACGAAAGCGTCGAGATGCTCTTCGGGGTCGGTGGTTCCGTCATACTTCTCCAAGGCCAAGTTTTTCCAGTTGTCGGGCAAACGGGCCCCGGCAATATCTGGTGTGAATGGCGTCCTTCCCTGTCGTCGTTGTTGATCTTGTGTGGTCGTAGTTGGTCCACCCGATGGCCGAGGAACATTGACTTCCTTGTACCATCCTGAGGATTCACCCTGGTCCCGGGTTGACAGAGTATTTGGGATGTCGTGGGATGGATGCCAGGATCGATTATCACTTCAGAGTTCTGCATTTTCCTTCCTTAGGACTGATAGTTCATGAGCGTCCTTTTCCCGGAGCCTTCTCAATTCCATCATCTCGGCCTTCAATTGCTCGATGGCCGATGACGGATTGGGTTGTTGGGATCGCTCCACGTAAGATTCCTCCATTCCTTCCTCATTGTGATTGGCCTGTTGTCCAGTGGTATCTCGGGGCATCCCGAAGGGGTGGGTGGCTGCGTTCTCCTGCTGGCTTCTTGTTGCTACCATCTTGCTTCAGGGGTCGAGAACCGTATTAGTTCCGGCCCCACGGTGGGCGCCAAAATGTTCCTGCGTAGGAACACTCCTCTTGTCGTTCTTCCTTCCTTAGGTCTTCTAAGTCTTTAGTCCCGACCGAATACTGTCTCCAAAGGGTGGGGAGGGTACCTGCAAAGGCATTCCAACGATCAAGTAAGTATTCGATATGGAGCAATAAATGCCTTTATGTTAAATAGTAACTTACCTCATTTATGTCACATCACCTGTGTATTTATAGAGACACAATTGGGCCTGGTGGGCCCTCAATCTTAGAGGATGATAACTTTTGAGTTAACCTTAATCTCTTCTACATTAAGCATGGTAATTATTGCATAATAGGTGTTTAATTTGCCACGTGTTATTCGTGAGTTGTTCCTTATTGGTCTTCGGCTAGGCACAAGGCCGAGGGGGGGTCTCGACTTGACCCTACTCCGAAGGGTTGTTCGGCCTGCACGAGGGTCGTAGAGGTATTCGGCCTGGCCTGGCGCCGAAAGGGTTTTTGAGTAGTAGTTGGTGTCCGACTTGCTCCTAGGCCGAGGTGGTCCTCGGCCTGCTCCAAGGCCGAGGTGGTGTTCGTCTTACCCCTAGGCCGAGGAGGTGTTCGGCCTGCTCCCAAGCCGAGGAGGTGTTCGGCTTAGCTTCATGCCGAGGGGTCTTCCTCATGGCCAAGGGGTTTTATTGGGTGGCCACCTCTCGTGGTGGCTCTCGGGTCGGCCCTTTGGCCGAGGTGTGTGGTTGTGGTTCATCGGTTCAGGCTCCCCTATCGGCCTATTATATGACCGAAGGGGTTCCTACTAATACTTTGCGTTTCCCTCGGCTTGGGCACCTCTATCGGCCTATTGTCTGACCGAAAGGGTGCCTATTAGTACACAAACCAATTGAAATTCAATGTTGATTGGTTCGAGTATCATATTCACACTTATGAGACCCAAACTAACCAAGAACAAACCAACAATTTATGTATAATTATTTTTACTATTTTTTAATGATTAACATAGTAAATATGTAACTTTGAATAGTTGGACAATTAGGTGTATGTTGGTGGATTAGGCTTCTATTAGACAATTTGGTGTATCTCAACACTTTAGTTTGTGCTCGACATTTTGCTTAAATTTCATCCTAATATTATAGATATAGTAGTATGATTGAATCAATTATTCGTGTATGTTTTTTATAATTTGTTATTAATTAATTAGTGCAAGTCAATTACACTCAAATATGTAATTTACATTCTTTTATGACAACATTGTCTACCAATTTAGAGACAAAACCATATTTGTAATTTTTTCAAAACCTTTTTTTTTATTGGATATCCAATGACCCAAACCAACTAGTGTGACATCAAGTTGGTTTAGTTCGGGTTAGGTAAAAAAAGTTCAAAAATCCTAACCAACTACAATTAATTGGTTCAAATTTTATTTTACCCCAAATCTGAACCAACCCAACTCATGAACACCCCTATAATTGGGTATAAGACCCAACACAACTCCACAAAACTAACTTATAAAAAGATAATTGCCCAAGCTTTATAAGCTATATTTAATCATATTTCTAATCAACATGCAACCAAACACCACCCTTGATGATGCAATTAAGGCAGCCTCCAAAAGAGACCACAACTAAGGTAGGCTAGGGGTGACCACAATTAAGGTTGTTTTCCAACATTATTCAGTCATTTTATAGAATACCATAGTAGTCAATCTCGGATAGCAGAGCGAAGCGGTCGACCCTAAAAATGGGATAGCGGGATGACGCGGAGCGGGATAACCGCTATTTTAATATTAATTTATATATATTAAATAATTAATAATATATAAAAGCTAAAAAAACCAAAAATAAGCTGCTAAATTAGAAATAGAAAAGACAAAAACAGCCTAATAAAAAGATAAGAGAATCATAAATTAAAAAAAATAAGTTGTTGAATTAGAAATAGAAAAGCAGCTGAATTAATCAAAATTTTAAAAAAAATGTTGAATTAAATTTAATCAGAGAAAAAAATCTGCTAAATTAAATTTAATCATAAATTAAAAATAAAATTTGTTAAATTAAATTTAATCAAAAATTAAAAATAAAATCTACTGAATTAAATTTATTCAGAAACTAAAAATAAAATCTGCTGAATTAAATTTAATCAGAAATTAAAAATAAAATCAGCTGAATTAAATTTAATCAGAAATTAAAAATAAAATTTGCTGAATTAAATTTAACCAAAAATTAAAAATAAAATCAGTTGAATCAAATTTAATCAGAAATTAAAAATAAAGTTTGCTAAATTAAATTTAATCAGAAATTAAAAATAAAATTTGTTGAATTAAATTTAATAAAAAAATAAAAAATAAAAATATGTTGCATAAACTAAAAAGAGAGAAGACATAAGAACAGAAGACAGATGATGAGCGGAGGAAAGCGCGTCGAAGCTGGAGGCACGTCGGAGTCGGAGCTGGAGGCACGTCGGAGCTGGAGTTCGTCACGGAACTGGAGTACTGCACATCGTCCTCGAGAGAGAAGAAACAATCGTCCGAGAGAGAGAGGAGAGGGAGTGGGAGAACTAAGAAACCAAGTGGTTCCGCGAGAGGGAGAGGGGAACATTAGGGCAAAAAAAGCCCAATTGAAAAGACCATAGTTGTCAATCGCGGCCGGAGCGGCCGCTATCGCGACGCTTTGGAGCGGAGCAGCCCGATGCCGCAATGGTGATGTTGTCGCGTCTCGAATTTCTGTTGCAGCTAGAGCGGCCGCGTCGGACGCGGAGCAGAGCGACCAAAAACAACGAAATCGCGCCGCGTCTTGGACAAACCTTTCATTAAGGGTAAGTCTGTCATTTCTGTTGGATTTTTCTTGCCCTAAATCTTCCTCTCCCTCTCGCGGAACCATTGTTGTTGGTTTCTGAATGTCTCGCACTCCTCTCCTCTCTCTCTCTCGGACTCAATTCTTTCTCTCTCGGGGACGACCGTCGACGCACTCTGGTCGTCTTCTTCAGGCGTCTTGTCAGACGCTCCTCCAGTTCCAACGCACTCCAATTCCGACGCACATCAGTTTCAACCGACGCTCCTCCAGTTCCGATGCTGCTCCTCCAGTTCCGACGTCCTCGTCTGTCTTCTTTTTTTGTCTTCTCATTTTCTATTTTATAATTCAACATATTTATTTTTAATTTGTGATTAAATTTAATTCAGCAATTTTTTTTAATTTTTGATTAAATTTAATTCAGCAGAATTTCTTTTAATTTCTGATTAAATTTAATTAAGCAGATTTTTTTAATTTTTATTAAATTTAATTCAGCAATTTTTTTTAATTTTTGATTAAATTTAATTCAGCTGATTTTTTTTAATTTCTGATTAAATTTAATTCAGCAAATTTTTTTTAAATTTCTGATTAAATTTAATTCAGCATATTTTTTTTTAATTTCTGATTAAATTTAATTCAGCAAATTTT